AGTATGATGCTTTGCTGTGTCCATACTCATCTAACACTGCTCTGAAGAAATTACTTTTTTGCAGCAACATTTATTTCAGCACTGCTTTAGACCATCCATCCATCAATCTTCTTAATCAAACCACTGGCAGTTATATCCTGACCTGAAAGAAAAATCAGAGGTCTTAAAACAGAACTCTGTCCACTCTTTGAAAGACATTTTTATGTAACATTTGTTCTTTTTTTGTCTCCTGCCTATAAATGTGAGTATTCAACTTGCTCTTAGTCATTGTTATTACACCAATAGCTGCATATATGCCACCGGTCGTCTTCCTTTGATTGGCATCATACGCCTCTTCGCTATTTCACCTCATCGCTCCACTTCTCGCTGTCCTTCTATTATGCCTGACACTGTCGGCTCTCCTCCTTCACTCCATCCTCTCTCTAATAGTTCTGGCATTCTTAGCACCGTCCTCCTTTACTCCCATCCCTCCTTCCATTTCCAACCTGCCGTCCTTTCCTCTAATATGGTTGACATTCTTTACTTTCTCTTTCTTCCATTTCTCCTGGCTGACTCAAGCTAAAGTGCTGCCTGGAGGGCCCTTTCATGGGTAGCAGAATTATAACGCTCGGGGCCAAGGCCACAGGTTAAGTGCACTCCGAACAAAGAAAAAGTGACATAAGGGCTGAGTTCTACTTATGTGCACAGAGGAGGAGGACGGTTTATGCAAGGTGAACTGGAGCTGCTGGCAGTGAGGCATTAGGGAATCATCTTAAACAAATAAATATGCAACAAACAAAAATGACCAACTCAGAACAGCTCCTCTTCTATTCTGCAGACAGCACTGATCTCTGACCTGTACAGAAACACATTCAGTATATTGATATTATTAGGTATTAATATCTATGTTATCTCTCTCTTGTAGAGTCTGTCTTGGCTCTTGATGGAGGTGGTCGCATCTTTCACTCTGTCCCTCCTTTATATTTCCTGCTTCTTTGTCCTTGTCTAGTCTTGTCTAACTCTTAGAGACTCTCTCAGTCTTGTTCTCTATAATCAAGAAATTATGGATTTGATCAACTGGTCTCTTTTTCGCCCTAAACCAAACCCAAACAACCACTAATTACATGCAGCCTCACCTCACTAGCTGGAAGCTCCAGGGTGGAAGCAGGAACAACAAATTCTCCCAGATCACAAGACGGTGTATGACCCTATCCTCCTACTTCCTCAAGGTCACCTGCGACGGCGTGGGGATTGTTGACTTTTTCCTTAAAACTAGGTGAAAGAGCACTCTCTCTCAAGTTGGATACAGGCTACACACACACACATGCATGTACTCAGACACAGATATACACCCCCAACCCCAAATGCCTTCGACCTGATGGAAGTAAGCATTGTGGTGCTGTGCCCTGGCGCTGGTTCAGCTGCAGGACCGGACGGCTGATGTGTACATCGGCTCTCTCCAATACCCCCTCCCTTGTCACAAGTCGCGTGTTTTTTTATGTTGTTATGTTGTAAGGTGTGAAGATTCATGTGCTTCCCTGTGCTGAGGGTTTTTATTCTATTCTCAAACTGCTCTCCCATTAGGAGCTCAGTCTGGGTGCAGTTCTTATTTTTTCCTCCTCTTCCCTCATGTATTTATGTATTTCATTGTTTTTTTTTACCATCATACATCTCTCTGACCTGTCTTACCAACGTCATGTTTGTGCAATGTATGTACGGGGTCCTATTTCACTCTGTGTTCGTGTAACATTGCTAGTGACAATTAAACGGCTCAATCTCAATCAATTATGCTACGCAGTCAAACAGGGAAAGCTGTGGTTGGAGACTGCAGCATGACCAAAATTATGGCGACCGTGTACATGCATACATGCAGTCTCCTTGTGATAATATGACAATAAACAGCGATACAGGTGAAAACTGCACATCTGTTGATGAAAAAGTCCCATTAACTACTTATATTCAGAGTTTAGCCAGACTGATCGCAATGTGCTGGCAATCTGTCTGCATTTATAGGTTGCCTACCACCAGGTGACCTGTGGAGTCACGTGGTGATTGAAAGTGGTCGCTCAGGTATTGGGGGTGTTGCAGGGCCAATCTCTGGCCAATCAGCTGCTCACCTCACCTGTTTCCAATTGGTTGCTGCGTGTGACATAATTGAATAGAATCACCGGGCAACCGCTGATAATTCTCAGTTAAACGGAGGTTGCCGTCCTATTTCTACTTTAGTGTGAATGAGCTATTATGCATAAGCAAGACTAGCTAGCTAGCAACGGGAGCCAAACTAGCTACAGAGATTCTACAACCTTACCATGGTACCACACTAAAGGTTTTATCAGGCATGCAGCATGACTAAAGGCATGGCAATGTCCGTCAACCAGTGCATCATTTACTAAAATCTGGTAAAGAAACGCACAACCTAAGTATTGATTTTTCTTGTAACGTCACTACCAGGATGGCATCAGAGAACCAAACCTGCTTGGCATTCACAGCTAGGATTGTGAATGTGGAAAACATACCTGTTAAATGTTAAACAGTAACATCACTGCATTTATTCGCATTGCTGTGCCTCAGCAGACTATGACTAAACCACTAATATGACTGTAGACTGCACGAATCCATTCACCACAGTCACTATCAGTGTTGGGACTAACGCATTATTAAGTAACGCGCTACAGTAACTACGTCATTATTGTGGTAACGAGCCCAAGTCAAAATGCCCGGGACGATTTTTTGTCCCAGTCCAACTCTGTATGCAGCTCATCTGCAGTCTGGTGTTACCTACATCTTCCTATTCAGAAGGCAGAATTTCCGAGTTCTGAGTACAATCAAAAGCACCACGACTGCAGTTTTTGTGTTGGATGTAAAAAGCAGGCTAGGATAGAATCAGGTGTGGGATTTCTCTCGTGGAAATGTGCACATTATTTTTTCCTTTCTATTGGTAGGTGGCACAGTGCACTTGTGGCAAGTAAGCAAGCTAGAAGACTGGCAATCTTGCTGGGTATCCAGTTACGGAAGCAACACATTAACAAGAGAATTCTGAGTAAAACCAAAGTTACTTTCCCTAGTAACTAGTTACTCTGAAAGTAACAAGTAACTTGAAGTAACGGAGTTACTTTTGATAGACTAAGTTACTAATTTAAAGTAACTTACCCAACACTGGTCACTATAAGCAAAAAGGATGAAATAAAATTGCCAGTCAGGTTTCAATTTCTATCCATGTGTGTTCTGACTCATATATCTCACAGTTCCTGAGGTTTAGAGTTGAACATCACCGTAAGGTGACCTTATGACCATAAATAAACAAATAAAAGAAAGAACTCTTGGGCGTTTACGATATCTCTTTGAAATATTGAAACAAAGATATTATCCATACAGACAAATGGCAAACACACAGGCCTAATACATGCCCATCTCTGCCTTAAGGAAAGAGATTTAATAAATACCATCATTAACATTACACTAGCAAATAATAGCATGCACATTTTCATATTTCTGTACATGTTTTCTTTGCATCCTAATAGATGGTGCAGAGCATTTCATAAGCTCTTACCCTGAAATATTCTGGTGCATACATGGTGAAATGCAATAATACAACTGCTCTGAAGCACATAATGTACTGTACATAAAAAAATGCTGAACTATAGGTCAAAGCCTGCTGGCTTTGCAACAGTGAAGCAACATGAGCTAAACACCCACAAAGCATCATGGGACTAGGATGATGTGGGTGTATTGATTTCTATGTGGGAGTGGGGCAGAGGGGTGGAGCTAAAACTGGAAATGCAGTAGATGACAGATGCCGATTGTGTGAACTTTAAATGGGCATGTGGGGGAGGAGTGGATGTAATGGAGCAGGGCGAACGGAGCAAGCGGAAAAAAAAGACAGATCAGAGTGGGATGGAAGGAGGGAGGGATGGAGTTGAGGGGTGGGGCCGGTATCACAGTTACCACACCTCACCATAGAGACGGTTGCTTAGTGATACGGCGAGGCTGACCAATACCGATGCTGACCGCTGAATTTTATGTCAGCACCTCTCACCTGGAGGTGTTCTTGTGATAAAGGTGTGTGTGTGAACCGAATGTTTCTAAAGTCCTTTCAGCTTCTGCACAATATTAAGCTCTGAGAAAAAAAATGGGGAGATATTGATTTCAAACTCTGTTTACAACTGAGTTGTACTTGCTAAATCAGTCCATGATCAGCACTTTTACACTGAAACAGGAAAAATGAATAGTTTTCTGTGCACTGTGATCTCACCTGGCAGAAGACGGGTTTATACGTGTCGGAAAAGAGCTGGGTTAGCTCCTCAGAGTCACAGAGGTCCAGGGGCAGTCTGTCCACGCACAGACACTTGGAGTGCAGGTTTTCCTCCTGGCTCAGCTGGTTGACGTCCATCCACTGCACCATCAGCGAGCGATCCCCCTGCAACAAGCAGTGAGACACAGAGTCAGACAGTAAGGCAACGCTAGGTCCACTTATTTGCCAAGCGCATTTGGTGACACTATACTGCAAAATAAAAATGTTTGTATTGTACTCAATTAGTCATGGTTACACTTTGTGGATTGTCCCTGTGCAGTTATCCCACAGAGAGTACAGCGCTATTTGTACATGTCTACTTTACTTTCAATTGGAAAAAAAGAGTCTGTTTGTGTTTTCACAACATATTTCACCTGATTTGAAAAGCTCGGATCCGTGAATATCTTTCCAGCTTTACAGCAGTCACAATATATGGCTCGCTTTTTTGTGTGTAATGTCTCAATCTCTGCTGTGTCTAGGAGTAAAAGGGGTGAAACACCAGCTCAGAGAGTAATCTAATTCATTCAGCATCTGACTGATCCGCCTGTCTGGACACTTGAAATCGGTAGCGGGTTGCCAGGTCGTGTTTAACCGACAATCTAGCAACTTGGTAAGATTCGAGGAACTAACCAAACATAGGCATGCGTGCATTCCAATTATTCATTAAAAAAAATTGGGAGGACACCAGAAAATGTTCTCAAAATACAGAAGAAACCCAGGAAAAACTGGCATGTTGGTGAGTACTTTAAGATCCTCAGCTGGCGTCACGGGCACTTGCTAAACTCTGAAAAGCTTTAATGCGAGATACAGTCTGTGCTCTTGCCGCTGTAAGTGCTGGTTTGAAAGCCTGTCAGCCCTTGAGCTCTACTTCCATTTGCAGATTCTGATTCACTTTTCACAAATGTGAGGTCATAGATTATTGTATGCAATAAACCGATTTTGATGCACTTAAATTTAAGCAATTATGATTTCAGCATTTCTTCCCACAGATAATTTTAGCACTTGGACAGATTTTCTTTTTCTGTGTGTGTGTGTGTGTGTGTGTGTGTGTGTGTGTGTGTGTGCCTGTGTGTGTGTGTATGTGTGTGTGTGTGTGGTTTGCTCAATTCATAAACTGAAACCACACTCAAGCAGCAGGGCCTGCATTTTTACTGATTATATTTTTTTCTCTTCTATTGCCAGTTCCCATCAACCTCAACAAATGGTGGTCGTCGATGGAAACAAGTTTCAGTCGAGCTTTGTCTATATAAACCATGCATATAGTAAATAAGACAAAAGAAATAAGCAGCCTGTGTTGTCTTGGCAACTAGTCTAATCCAGTATAATCAATCCCTTATGTTGAGCATTTGATGTTTCAGTCCATGTAAAGAAGATGTTTTCTGCCCTAGGCTACTCCTTTCCCATCTCGTTACATGTACCTGCTGCAGCAGATTTTTAACACTTGCTCTAACATACCATTGGGCGGCCCAGGAGCTCCGAGCGGGCCCGTGAAGCAGAATCCTTCTTCATGTATTCAACAAACCCATATCCTTTGGAGTGGCCCGTGAGCTCACTGTACACCAGGAAGGAGCGCTCGATGTTCCCATAGGAGCGCACCAGCTCCTCAAACTGCTGGGCGGTGAAGGTGTGGGGCAGGTTGGTGAGGCACAGCAGGGAGTCGGTGGGCTGCAGGGTGACGTTGATCAAACGCCCACGGACAGTGCTGTGGTGGAGGGAGCGGATGGCATCCTGAGCCTGGTCCCCGTTCAGCAAAGTCACAAAAGCTGGAGGAGGGGACATTATGGAGACGGCGACGAGGGGAAAAGACGGACGAGGAACAAGGACACACACAAAGAAAAGGGATACACAGACACGGATGGACGGGAGGATCGGGACAAACACAAACATACATTTAAAGCGGACATTCAAAAAAACGTGCATAAAGAAGTTTGCGGGGGATGCGGGATGGAGACACACAGTCAAAGAACATGCTCAAAAGAACTCACATGAAAAGCAAAGAAAATGAGCGACAGGCCAAATGTGGCGGGGTTAAAAAAATAGAAAGAAAAAAGAAAAGAGGGGGATGAAAGAGGGAATTTAGGCACAAACAACCAAAACCACAGAAACACAGTCATAAAAGACAGACGGACGCACATACACAGAGAGAAAGACAACACATTAGCTAGAAAGCCAATAGGGAGGCACTATGTAGGGGTGGAGGATCCACTGTGACACACACACACACACACCCACCTCACCTCACCTCACTCCATTTAAAAACATCAACCTGATAAATGAGAGAACCAACAGCACTAACAAATGCAATGTTAAATGTAGAATTTAATGAGAATTCAAAAGAGCTACCTGATAAAATATCAGCTGTTTTTAAAATAACTTGAAGCAACAGGAGTTCTGTGCACAGAGGCTGTCAGTGCTTTGTTATGTTATTTGGAGGAAGGAGGACGTGTTAAAATCAGAGAAAGTGGCATGTCCTGAAAGTCTAATGAAATTTGAAGAGCTTTTTCTCTCCTATAAACTGTTCAACAGGGAGAAGAGAAAGAAATGCACACACACACACACGTGGGTGTGTGTGTTAGTGTGTGTGAGTGTGTGAGAGAGAGAGAGAGTGTTTGTGTGTGAGAGAGAGAGGAAGCAAGAGAGAGAAAGAGAGAGAGGCGAAATACAAAAGGCATAGTTAAAGGGAGGGTGAAAAAAATGAACCTCCAAAAACCAATTAAAGCCAGCATTATGTTAACTGATCTCAGGGGGACTGACTGCAAGGAGTGTGTGCTGCTATTTAACTTGTTTCCAAACGAGGGTGTTTCACTTGTGCATTTCACTGCAGATTGTTTATTGGCCTTGCAAAGCGAAGTGTTCGTCCTAAATGAATAATTATTAAGTTATTCACATTTGAGAAGATAGGCTTGTTCATAAATAGTATTATTAGCTTACTATTTTCACAAGTTACTGACCAGTACTGCTGTACAAAAAACATAAAATCCTAAAATAATAACACAAACTGTTTTGAGTTAGTTCAGCTTCGTGAATAGGACCGTGCACTGTGATGCTAACAAACAACTTTTTGAACTGAACTGCTTAACAGATCAAAATAAATGCATGACATTCTTACTGTGCGTAAATGCACAAGGTATACCCCGTCTGGTGCAGCAGAATACAAAAACTGCACGACTTTGCACGCTGAGCCTCGGTCAATGTTTGATTTAATCAAAATCCAACAAATACAGACAAGTGGGCTTTCCACTCTGAGCTTTTCACCTGGAGGAAAATACCACTGTGCCTCAGGAAAATCCTGCTCTGTTGATGCGCTGCCACCCCTGCGGTCACGCACCTGTGTGAGAACCTCTGGTCTTTTATCATAGCTCATCCTCACCAGCTGTGATCCTGACCCTCAATTCATGCACATGTTATTCCTGAAATGGTGTCTTAGGAGCTTCATGTACATCACCGCCTTCATGTAGAAACTGACTCCTGATGGCAAAGCTACTGCTTTTGTTTTTTGTAAATACAGTCCTATTACATACATCTGCACTGTCGTCACACTGGTTGAAATGTGTGTTTCTGTTCATAGTTTCAAACTTAATCTTTTCTGCTTTCTTATTCCACTGGGATTGACCAGTACTGTGAAAATAAAATACAAATATAGAATACGTTAGTCATTCAGTACCTTTATAATAGTAGTCAGTCTACTAACATGTGATGGTTCAAAATAATTAGAAATAAAAAACAGAGGCAGTCCGAGTCTTATTTTCCCCACACATTTCAAACTCCTATGCCCATTTGTACTGGTTTCTGAAGTATCCTTTTTAGGCTTTCTCCATAATAATGCTACATTATTTGAAGTGAAAGTCAAAGCCTGGCATCTGGTAATGTGGAGCATTAGCTGAGTATCACTTTTAGCCCTCATCTCAAATTACTGGTGACAAGAAAGAATCCACATCCAGCCAAGCTGGTGTTGAAATGCAGCCCTGTTGAAGCAGCCGAAACCAAAAAGGCTCGAACATTAGAAGAATTCTACCTGTATTTAAATGATAGAGACTGAATCTAAGATAGGGGTTACAGTCCTGGATTTTTTTTTCTTATGAATATACAGGGAAATAAAAGCTAACCTAAATGTCCTTCAATGCTTTAACCGTATTTGTTAATAAAGTCAACATTAAACCATGTTATCAGTTGTCAAAATCACAGATTAGGTCGCTGTGAATGTTACCAGTGATTCAACATCAAGCTGAGGGTGAGCTGTGCTCCACTGGAATGTGTTGTTATGTTTTTACCACAAAAGCACAGTAGTTCTGTTCTCTGGTACAATTTTAAGTGTTAATCGGTGTAAAAACAAGTATGCAAATTTGTGTGCTTCTACAACACAAGTAAGGAAAAACCTGACTGTTTTTCGAGCCCTTTCAGACCTCAAACAGATCATTTACAACCTACACACCTAACTCTGCATAAATATACGTTGCTATTCAAGAGTTTCGGGAACTGCTTAGATTATTATCCATCATGCAGCACTGTCAGGGAGGCATCTGACTGGTCCCAAATTCATTTTGCAGCATGACAATAATTGCAAACGCAGAGTCACAGAGAACTAACTTCGTACAACAAGATAAACAAGAGCTCTGCAGCAGATGGTGGCCCCCACAGGGCCCCTGTTTCTACACCATCGAATCAGTGTGGGATTTCACGAAAAAAACGGAAGCAACGAAGTGTGGAAAGTTCCTGAAAATGTTTGGAACAACCTTGAATGACTGCGTGCAACTGTACCGCAGAGAACTTGGACTGCTGTAGGGCCAGAACACATATCACCATCACCATATCACAGAACACATTTCACCATCAACGTGTGCAATCACATGTATTCTGTAATCTTTTAATGTCGTCAATTAAAGTAAGACGACAGATTACCGGCTACCGCTACATATCTTTAGTCACCTTCAAAACCTGATGCCTGGTGCCTGATCTTGAGTGCACAACAAGTAGTCTGGCTCCACAGGAAATGAAAAGTTCAAAGCTGGAGTTTAGGTACCAGGGCCACAAATCACTGAGTGATTGTTTGTTCAATTATTCAAATGAAAACACTGACAGCTGGTGTTTCTGCCACTCACAGGGAGCAAACTCTGACAAGAAAAAAAAACAACAGAATTACAAGTGGTTTGTGGTGCTTAAAAAAAAGGTTATTATCAATCACATCGAACGCTTTCAGTGATTACGCAGTGAAAAGTCACTGCTTTTCTGTGGCTTTCTCAAACCATTTCTGTATTAGCCTCTTCACCTTTAGTGTATGTTTCAAACAGTCCTCCCGAGTTTAAATTTCAAGAAAACCTCACGATCCTCAGTGTTCACTCAATCAAAATCCTTGAAGTTTTTAGTGTCGTTTTAAATTAAGTGCACTGTTTGCACTTAAGTACTGCGGCACTGAGGGAAATAAGTAGGAGTAAGTAGGTTTATCCTAATTGTCAAAGGTAATTTACAAAAACCCTCAATTTCATTTGTATTTCAGTGATGGAAATAGATACTTGATCATTTCCGTTAGGTGTTTTAAA